ATAAGTATATGCAATATAATTTATACATATATAAGTAATAATTCACATATAAGTAATATAAATAAATAAAAATGTGAACAAATAATAAGTATATATAATATATAAATATAATCATATATGAATAATATAATTGAAATATTCAAAGCAGGAATTAATCTCGAAATTTGTAAGATCGAGTTTACGCATAACTTCACATATTTAAATAATGTCTTACAAATTACATCGAATCCTTCAATTGTATACATGTTATTCCATTTTTCAACTGAATCAACTTTATTTTGAGAACTTTATTCTATTTCGAGCGGCAAAATAATATTTAATGCTGTATTAATTCCTGTATTTAACATGTGATTTTTCATTAATTCGCGCCAGAATCAAATACATACGATGCTAATATCTTATTTTTTATACATAGCATATTGCTTCATACAATATTTATGAAAAATATTAAGTACGAGAGAAAGAGATAAATATGCCATAACTATACACGTGGCAGATAATAAAAATATATAAATTATGATTTGATAAAATTTCTTCACGTCGCGGAACAAAATTAAAAATATACTTGAAGAAACTAATTGTTCTTTATGCATTTTTCAAAGAGAAGAGAATAAGAAATATGTGGTTATTGTCAGACAACAAGTCTGTAATTCTCTCTGACCTTGCTAACCTTGAATCGAGCACGACACGTTGCTTAAATGCCATCACGTAAATATGAAAAAGCTAATATCCACATAAATAAGGGACAATAATAAATATCTCACGCCATTCACACGTGTGATAAAGCCGGCATTTTTATTGCTTTAGTCTTTAATCCATAAAAAGCCTAGAGATATTTCCAGTAGTTATATTCCATTCCATATAATTTTTCTCTCTCTCATACTTAAATTCCCTCTAAATTATACGTATCGATTGTCGCCGCATTGAATAAATGCGTTTTAATGTTCAACGAAAATGGTTTGCACATTTTGTTGAATATTTCAAATGATCGTCACAATAATCATAATTCTTACTCCGCAAAATTTTTGAAAAATGCGTTATATATATTTCCAGGAAACTTTCCTACGCAACACCCGTAATCATAACTGACGAAAGGACCGAAAATTGCTCCAACGCCAGGTAATGGTTAATTTGCGCACGAACAGCAGCAACATTCACGTCGCCTGTCATCGGTCGAGGGGGGGAAGGGACTTGGAGCATGTATCTCAACCGGAAACATTCCGGACATATCAATCGATATTCTCCTTGCATACAACGAGATCCGAGCGTATTCCAGTCGACGAAATTCTCTCAAAATTACCACGTGCCGAGAAACGAAGCCGGTTTGCCGGCCGGTCGGACGCGTCCCGGTTCGAGAGCTTACCTCGCGTTTGAAATGGAAGGAAAAAATTTCGACGCGATAACAGGCGATAATGTCCGCGATGCGTTCGCTACGCAATTACTTGCTAGCACTCACCGTGCGCGGCGAAATATTGTCGTCGGATCCACAGAGAGAGCACAGGTCGTTCCTTGGAATCACTCGCAATCAACGCAACACTTCACTACAGAAGACGCCGGTCACTACGTTCGACTCCGCTGCTCGACTGCGCTTGTGCGCGTCCCCGGCCGGTTACATGCGCGAACGTCGCAACGCTGGCGCGCGCCATCTAGCAGCAACCACGCGCGACACAAGACTAGGAAAGCGCGCGAAAGTCGCGACCGTTTGAAGCGCCTGTACTGTCCACTCGAGCGAAAAGATGCGATGTATATTCTTCGATGCTGAAATTTTCAAGTCTCTATTTTTGAATACTGATGCGCAAAATGCAATGCGCGATACTTTTATGTTGTATTATTCATTTTATGCGTAACTTTATTTTATTTTATTACATTTATCTCGTTCTCAATATCATTTTCTACTTCCTTTTCGTTACTCAAATAAATTTTAATGTCTGGATATATCTATTTTTTAATTGTTCTCAGAATATTATCGCTAGAATTTTAAAATAAACGCTCATTATGTGTTCTACTATTATTATATTATAATATCTGAAAAAGAGATTTATATCTTTTGATAATTGGAATGTCGTTGTAATACTATAGCGTCTAATGACGAAATTTATTTTTCGGCTTTAATATCTGATTCAGTTAGTTTGATGTTAATCATATTTTATTTCTTTCTATGAGCGATATAAAATTGATAACTTACGTGCAACTATTAGGGATATCCGGCGCATTTCTCGGAGCTCGTTATTTCCTCGCGATTCAAGCCATTTTTTTTTTTTGCAGCTATACAGGTTTGATTTCGTAGAATCCTGAATTTCAGACCGACGCGAGAATGCACGCGTTCCGCAGGAAGCACGAAATTTAATGTTGTCGCAAATTTGAAATTTGTCAAGCGCGGATGCGAATGAGAGTACGGATGGACAATGGATTTTCGTGACGGGAACCGGACGTTAAGAACAATGGCGGGCGGAATTATTTCGCGTTGCACGTATCGATTACTCGTTTCGACTGAACATATCGTTCGTTCACACTTTTCGTAGAATACTTCATACATTGTAGGTAGACAATTTCATGCGTTACGCTCGATACGTTTGAAACGTATCATGCTTTTATTAACTTCATGGTTGAAATTCAAATTATTTTAATTTAAATTACTCATTATTAGCATTACAATTTTGCATAAAATTATTTTTGTATTTCATATTAGTACATGAATGGGAGATCTAGATTCTTTTTTCCATGCCCGACATATAAAAATCCATAATGCGGAGAATTTAATTTATGAAAGAAAGTCATTCCATGCCAATATAGACTATGCAAAATGACCAGGCGACCGCCCAAAAGAAATTGCATATCCCAACATTCTGTGGAAATAAATAAATGGATACTTTAATATATATAATCGATCATAGCTAAATAATATATTAAAATAACACGGCATTAAACTTTAATGTGATCATAAAATAACGTCGTCGCATTATGCGTTCTTGCTATCGTTTAATTCATAATTAATTCTATCGCTCTATTTGTATATCGATACCTTGAGGAACATCCATGTCTATGCTATCCAGGAAATCCAACGCGTAATTATAATCGGGCCGAGACAGTAAATTGGTGTTCCATTTCTCTTTCGGTAAACGAGCGTGCAAGTAGGATTTTAAATGCGAGGCATCCGAGGCGCAAAGACCCTCGAAGCTCGGATTCTCGATCACGTCGCCGTTCGGGCATTTGAACCAGGCCCCACGTGGAATGATCATAGCATCTTCCGTGATCGATTCCACGATAGCCGCGAGACGATCTTCCTCCTTTAATTCTTTCGGCATAGGATCCTGCATTTACCGTTTTTTTTTTTTTTTTTTTTTTTTTTTTTTTTTTTTTCCATCTTTTATTACATAAATTCCAAATAACAAAGTGACGTCAAGGTGAATAAGACGTTATTTTGACATCACTTTGCTACTTGAATACTAGATTCTTGAACATTATAAAATTAAGCCTGAAATACTCTTTAAATTACATTAATGATCTAATTGAATGATTTAATTTAGCGAATTCTTGAATTTCGATTTTTCTTGGGAAAAATTTGAAGGAATATATCTCTAATAGCGATATTACATCGTAATAAGTTTTAGGATCCTCGTTTGGCGGAAACGGTGGGTTGACGTTATAAACATTCGTGACAATGGACGGGTCACCGTCGAATCTATTAATAGCCAAAGGACCTAAGAATCGTCCGCACTTTGTCGCTTTTGGCAACAACAGCCAATTGATACCATCTGTGCTATATTATAAAAGGGCTAAAGTAAATATCCATCTAGTCAAAATTCGTCCAATGATATAAGTGCATTAAAAAAAAAAAAACCTGAGAAAAATTCTTTTTTAAAGTGGAATGTAAATAATATATAAGTTTAAGATTAATACGATTAGCTTTATAATTTAAGCGTACATTAATTTCGAGAACTACATATATTCAATTTCTTATTAAACTAGAAATTGCATTTCAATACACATTAATCAAATTACCTATAATGATATACTCGACCGTTCATGCAATCTTTTTCGTAACCGTACGCGATATGGTAATCATTTTGTAATCCATTAATTCTACCCCAATAATAACATCTTCGAAAATGATTTTCCGTCTGCAAAATGAGTAGCGAATTCTGCAGCAGCTGCGAATTCTCAGTACTTATGCAAATACCGGCACAACCGAGCACGTCCAAAGTTTCCAATAATTTCAAGCAGTCCATTTTGTGTAACTTATTATGGTAATTGCAATAAATTTGAGAAGCAGAGAAGCTCGAATTTGCTTTTCTCAAATGTCACGTTTCGAAATGTGTCAAATGTTTTGATTGTACGTATACATCACATTGTATGGACACTCATATGTGATATGCTTTTACGTATCAAGGACTAGCCGGTGGTTGATTGCCAAGAATTACGACGAAACATGTCATCAGAAGAGGAAGATGATGAATTACAAGATTTAGAGGAGATACGAGATAAAATTCTTAGTACACCACGTAGTGAACGTATGCAAGTGAGCGCCTGGGAAGACGACGATGATGGTGTGGAACCGGAGCGTAATGCAAGAGGTTAGAATTCTGAGTAATTTCATATCGAATCAAGAGATCAATCGCACTTGTAAGGAATAAAATGTCTTTCAAGGAATAAAAATTATTTTATTAAAATTGCCTGTTTTTATGTCGAATTTATAGTAATGTCGTGTTTCTTTTAAAAGGTGATGCGAAAGCTATGTTGAGTGCTGCCGAAGAGGGAAATCTAGAAGAAATTAAGAAACTAGTAAACAAGAATCGCCTCTTGCTGGAATGTACTGATAAGGATGGTTATACTCCACTTCATAGAGCATGTTACGGCAATAACATAGAAGTAGTAGAGGTGACCTAGAAACTAAAAATTATTTCTTTTCTTTAATGTTTATAAAAATATCCTAAAAGTTTTATACATGTTATGATCTAGTTATTATTTCTCGACAGTATCTACTAGAAGCAGGAGCAAAAATAGATGCTAAAACTCAGGATGAATGGCAGCCTTTGCATTCTGCGTGCTGTTGGAACAATGTGGAATGTGCTGAAGCATTGATCGGAAATGGAGCAGATATAAACGCTAAAAGTAAAGGAGATCAAACACCTTTACATCTGGTTTCCGCTACTTCTCACAATTCCCCTGCTCTTCAGCTTCTTCTGTTACATGCGGATACAAACCCACACATAGTAAACTCCAGTGGAGATACTGCAGATCAGATTGCAAGAAGAACAACTAAGTACTACCCTATGTTTGAAATAATTGAATCTTGTTTGAATGAGATTTGAAATAAGCAATTACATAGTAGGTATATACATTACATAAATAAAACGAGTGTTTAATGCAGTAAATACATTTACTTTATATATATGTCAAAAATGAGCAAAAATTATTGAAAAAAAGGATAGTTTCTTTAAATGTTTTTGTTATTGCAACATTATTTTATAAAAATTTATATATATATATATATATATTAATCTATATGAATGCTATATATATAACTAGGGATAATCATTGTATCAGAAGAATCACTAAGATAATACTTCTATACATTATTCATTTTGCCATCAATACATGTCATGATCGTGACTAAAAATTAAAAAAATTCGAGTGTAATTAATTATTTGAACATTAATTCTTAAATAATAACACAGAAATAATCACATATTATATAATGTTGAAAACAATAAACAAAACAAAAAAGATAATAAAAACATGATAAATGTAATATAGAAAATAACATCGCTTTTATGTTTCCAATCTAATTCTCTTTCTCTATACATAAGCTTTGTTCTCAGTTCATACATTTGTCCTTGCATCAGTTTTTAATTGTTCAGATTATGATTGTACAGATCAGAATGAGGTTAAATTAACGAATTTTGGAGTACCGTTACTGAGACGCTTAGATCCCTCCCAAATTAAAACAGTGGAGTCTTCTGTGACTGCATATAAATGGTGTTGATCCAGGGACCATACTACAGCGATTATTGCACAACAATTTTTCACGTTAGTCGAAATTTCTCTAACTAACTGCAAATCCCAACTGCTCCATAATCTGCGTTCAAAAATACTTTCGTTTGATAATTGTTCTCATAGATTTAACAAAATACAATACATGCATACCTTATTATCCCGTTGTCTAAACCAGTTGCAATAACATTGACAGAAACACCTTCCGGCGCGCTGCTGTAACAAAGCGCTGTTACACGTCTTTTGGATGAAATGGAGCCTACAGCTCTTGCATTTATAGTATAAACTCTCAACTCGGATCGATCGGCGGTCACGTTGAGCTCTGACTTAGGAATCTCAAAAGTAACTGCTACATCACCGAGTGTTTCACTGATACACAAGAGATGTATAGTATAACCTTGATCGCAGACTATTGACCTCACATATGTTAAACTGTTTCAAAATAAAGATATATATGTATATAAAAAATATAACGAATGACAAAGCATAACAGGATTTATTTTTGTATCATATACCTGTTTAAATCCCAAATAGCAATAACTCCACTAACATCGCCGGAGCAAGCAATACTAAACGCACGTGACAAAGATATTGTTGTCACTCGATTTCTATGGGCTAAAAGTGTTGTTGCAGGTGCTAAACTAAATTCGATTTTGCCTGTAGTCCCGATAGTGTATGTATGCACTATAATTCTGCCTGATAAGTGTCCGATCCAAAGTTGTCCACAATCTGGAGTTGATCCCAATGTCGTGATCTAAATAGTAATTAGTAATTAATAGTAAATAGGCGATTTGCATCCAACATTTCATTTTAAATGCAATAACTTTAATAATCTTTATATAAACTTGGTTGTGTGTTTTTTCTCCTTGTTTTATTATTGAACTTTTAATGGAGTATCTTATGTTTATCATGAGAGATGTGTATTACCAGATACTTACTGGATCGAGGCCTGAGGATTTAATTAAAGGTTTCGGTGGTTGTTCTTTTTTACATTTTAATCTAGCGATTCCATCTGTTCCACTCCATGATGCTAACGCAGCACCCAAGACGGACATGCCACTTACCATACTACCACCTACAACAAACAAGAGATTTCTAAAATATCATACTTATATATAAAGTTTCGCGAATCGTGAAAAGAGTGCAATAGTATCCAAAAATTGTGATTTAAATCAATAACCTTTCTCTTTAGTATAAGCCAGAACGTCGTGTAATTAGGTAAACCGAAAACGTCACCGGTTGCCAGAGGAATTAGAGAAGCTAATGGAGTTTTGTGTTTCAATTTCCAACATAATACAGGCTTATTGCCAGGCGCGCCTACATAATTGCCCCATTTTATACCTGCAATTATATCAACATCGCATTGTTTAATGGATTTAATTTTGTGCTATCGATATTCATGATATCGGTTAATAGTTTAAAGTTTAAATCAACAAAAGAAAAATTACCGCTGACTCCTTCGATAACCTGCGGTGTCTGATTAGAAAGCGTTACATTGCTAAGATTCTGAATCAATGGATGAGGAGCTTTAAATAATTGTGCAGGCGTTTGACCATAAGTTCGTACCATCGTTTCCCAGGCTTGACGTTCTAAGGGATCGGCTATTTGTTCCACATCGAATCCGTAATAAGTCTAAATACAAGAAGTGAACTATTAATAAATATTCATTCTCGCTTATTAATATATTTGCGCATAAATTCTAATCTGTAATAATGTAAAACCAACGTACAGCAGGATGAAAGACATTTATGGCTTCTACCGCCGGTTTTCCCGTCTGTCTGAATCCAAAAACGAGATCGATCCAATATGGTAATACTTCTCTCACAATGTCTGATTCCAGCGCGGCTCTATGCGTCAATATAAATAGACGCGCGTCATCGCCACACCATTTCGGCAATTCAACGTCTCCAACTTTGTTACCATTTTGTCGAACGCCAAAATTGAATCCTGCAATACGAATGTATTTGCAAATGTATGCTATTTTTTATTCGCTTTATTTTTTTCAAAAATAATTGTGATTCTAATTTACCTTCGAAATTTAATAAAAATTCAGGTAAATAGAAAAATTCCGGTATCAGTTCCTTCACATCCGTTGTGGAATCGCAACTAGTTAATCTCCATGTGGTAGCTAACGCATGGAATGTTCGATCAGGAATATCAAAATTGTTATCTGCAAATAGACATATAATTTTAACAAATTTTTTGATTAATATTATTGTAAAGAAAGGATAGTTTCATAATTACCTTGATAACATAGGAACATGCTAGTGAACGGTGGAAGCCGTACCAAGAAGTGTAACACCGTTCCAGAATTACTATAATGAGATCCATAATGGAATGGTCCTTGATTTAAGGCAATCAGATTTAATCCTTCTGTTAAAGTTTGCTTCAAGTACTGTATCAAGATATAGTTATTAATGACTCTATAAGAAAAATGTCAAACAATAGTGATAACGTGTAATATATTACTTAAAATTACTTACATTATAATTATTTATGTAATGTTGTTCGTTCTTTTTATCTTGCACAGCCATCGGTCGTTTAAAATTTCTGTAAAATACATAAATGTATTTAAAAAATCTATTTATATTCCCCATATATTTTCCATATTATTTACCGATAAATTTTCGGATTGTTCAAGTCGATCTTGTCGCTAATGTAATCCGCCAAAACAAACGGGAATACGGGATACTGCATTAAGTCGTTATACGAACGGCCCGCCAATTTGTTCAAACAAACAATATATTCCCAATTAGTGAGCGCGCCGTTTCTCCATAAGGCCAGAGCCTCTCCCAAATCATCACCAGGGATTCGCCTGGGTAAATTGCAAGCGGATAACTCGGTCGTAAATTCGTCCCTTTCCTTGGATGAATTGAAGGCTAATAAATACGTTCTACCAGTAATGAGAAAGATCTCGATGGCTCTCTCTTGCAATTGATATCTTCTTGTGTGCAATTCGCGAATATCTTCGAGACGCCAAGCAGTACCACCGGTTACAGCCAAATCGAAACCACCCAATGCTATCTACAATTAAGAATGGTTAATTGATGTTCCGTCGGTGAATTATAATTGCAGTGACACAGGGAGAAATTGCTTACGTCCGTATGTAACGGCACATCGGGATTGTCCGGAACGAAATACACGCATGTCTCACCAATGAGAACTTCTCCCGCTAATTCGGCCCTAGGTGTAACAACTTTCGCTTGAGACATCTTGCGTATTTTCTCAGTCGTGTGTAATCGTTCGATCAAAGCTGCAGTATTGGCATCTTCACGAGTACTCGTAAATAAATACGACAACGGCATTTCGATATTGGAAGATTCTATAAAATATAAAATTTAAGATTAAAACACACAAGAGTATGTCCAATGTATTACGCTTATTCATATGGACGTTCGCAAAAGAAATAACGCAAAATACATCTGTTAAGATAAATTGTTCGTTTTATGATAACATTTATCCTTACATACTTAAATTGTCTTGATGTTCAGTCAAGAAGAATTTTTTATCAATATTCAAATGACATCTCTGAAGTCTAATTCTGACTCTCGCGGGGCCTTCAGTCGGATCCAATTCCCAACTTTTCGGATAGCTGTCGGAAAAATGCCACGGCGCCCATTCATGTGTTAATCGCTTGGCTATATCTCTCCACCTGGCCACTGCCTGAGCCTCTAAAGCTCGCATGTGTTTCAACTGTTCCATCAACACCTTGCGCTCACGGTTTTGTTCTTCCACAACCGAACGCGTTATATTCATGGCACTTTCGATTAATTGCTTCGCCAACGCATCAAATCTCTTGCCGATTCTAACATAAAATTATATATCATTCTATATTAAATTCTTGAAAAAACATACGTTGATTTTATATGATATATTTTATATGATATATGCATCTACCTTAAAACTGCAGGATAATTGTCGATACAAATATCTCGATCTAGAAGCAAATCTCGACGTAATAGAGTTAATTCATCGTTCCACACTTCTGGATTGGCTTGCTCTATCCCTTTCGCGAGATTCCATACGCGTAGAGCTTCTCTCAGTTCTGCGCATACTCTAGCATCGGCACTGGGCATCTCGTCCCGTTTTTGCAATAGGTCCCAGAAAAACACGGTGAACTTTTGTTCCATCTAGACATAATATTCTACATAATATCGGATTTCGTGTCTTAATGCGTAAAGTACAAATATTAGTCGCTCAAGCTAATTAGCACAGATACCTGTGGATGAACCTCCAAAATGCACGATAGGATTTCGCGAGCTCTTGGTTCCTCCATTAAAGATCTAATGGCGTACATTCTCGTATTGATACTTTGATGTGGCTCCAACAACCATATCATAATTCTAGCTGTATATTTTCTCAACGCTGGTTTAATGGACCACGTACTGCTCCAATGATTTTTTTTCTCCAGCGGACTACACAAACCGTGCAAAAGGATGGAAAATAATCTCTTCGTTAGCTGCAATTCGTTGACGGACGGTGACATATCGACCGCCGTTATAAATTCAACCGCGCGTATCACGATGATACGAAAACGATCGTTCAATTCTCCTTTACCGGGTTCGCGCAGCACCGGAGGCGAGCTCGCATGGAAGCTACCATAGCTGGAGGAAGGGGATCCATGATCACTCTGCTCGCTAGACGTCGTAAGAACTGGAGAAATATTTTTCAAATGATATATCGTACTAAATCAAGCATTAGTTAATATCTTAATTATTCAAACACGCGGTGTAGAATAATAGTAATAATATGTTAATGCGATAATGCATTTTTTAATTATGCGAAAAATGTGTTATCACGATATTCAAGTTATTGATAAATATATTTCTAACGTAATTATGGAGTAAGTACCGCTGCAATCTAAGATACGTGTAATGCCCGAGACATGTACACATTATTCTTATATCTACGTTAACATGTTGAACATATATAAATGAATGTTTAAAACTTTTACACACACCATAATTACCTGAAGTGAAGTAAGATGCCGAAGCCAAGTAAGAAGCCGTGCTACGTAGACGGAATCCTGAGGGATTCGACAGTTTTGTCACGAGCGTGTCCAACTCTCCATCAAACAACGCGACTTGTGCGTCTCTCACGATCGTGCGAATCGAACTCGTGCAGCATCGTAGCTTCTCCGATATTTCCATATAATCAAGTATCACATGTAGATCTAATACCGCTTGTATCTGATGACTGCCAGGTAATTCTAGAAGCTTAGTCGCAATTGTCACGAACAGGACATGAATGTCTCGATGAAAGGACATCGAGTTACCTTTATGCATAGCCCCAACCAAACCTTGTACCAATGATTCAATTAAGCCTTGTTCTAAAAGTACTTTCAGTGCGTTCGTATTCTGAAAAATGGCAAAAATTAATTCAGTTTTGTTTGTCAAATCTACTATTAAAAAAATGTATTTTATTCCTGTACCTTTGCTATAACATCAGTTATAAATAATATTAATGGCTTGACTATACTTGAATCAGAGTTTGAAGTCTTTGCAATTATCGCCATTAACATTGGCATTGCTGCTAGAGTCGGACTTCGTACAGCCAAGTTCTCTAAAGCGATAACCAACGAATCGCTTGCGGGATATAAAGCTATCTGATTTCCTAGATGCATGAAATACTTTTGCTTTATAAACTTGTTAACTTCCTCATCACTAGCACGTTGTAGATAGGTTTGTATCACCTAAAAGATGTCATACAAAATATAAAATATTTCGTTTTTTCTTAGTCTCGATACGGAAATTATACTATATATATA